TTTAGTAGAGACGGGGTTTCACTATGTTGACCAGGATGATCTCGATCTCTTGACTTCGTGATCCACCCACCTTGGCCTCCCAAAGTGCTGGGATTATAGGCATGAGCCACCGTGCCCAGCCAATTTTTGTATTTTTAGTAGAGACAGGGTTTCACCATGTTGGCCAGGCTGGTCTTGAACTCCTGACCTCAAGTGATCTACCCACCTTGACCTCCCAAAGTGCTGGGATTACAGGCGTGAGTCACTGCGCCTGGCTGGGATCTTAATTTCTATTTTTTCTTTTTTAGCCCTTGATTTTTACCCTGTTAGACTGACTTTAGGAATCTGACCCCCTAAAGTGCAAAAGAATACATTAGTGTTGTTGAAAGCCACTGAGTCTGTGGTAATTTTTTGCAGAAACAAATACAATCGGGATTTAACTTGCCTTGGGGTGCTGGCTCTCCCCCGTTTTCTTCTCAGAGCATTTCTTGGGTCCTCGCCCCTTGCTGAGCTCCCACCATAGCCTAGCGGACCAGGGATGGACTTAATCAGATTCTCCTCTTGGGATTTTACATAAGGGGAGCAGGGGCTGCATGCTCAGCTTCTCTGTGCTGCACTACAGGCACAGTGCCTGGCGCCACCCGTTCTTTAGGGGTCCATGGAGATATCTGTTGGCCCTGGGTTAGGCATGAGCTAAGGGATAAGAGGGTAGCTCACTTTGGGGGCTCAGTCCTTTGATGCTACCTTTGCTCTGGAACCTCAGGAGCTATAAGGGGGAGAGGAACTTTGCTGAAAGGCACGTCCTCCCTACAGAGCTTGAAGAACAATCTAACCATGCTGGCATGGGGCCCATCCAACCTGTGATGCCAGTGTAAGTCTGTGAAAGTCACTTATATTCAGAGAATGTGGATTGGGACCCCGAAGAACGACTTTATGGTGGGCACCTTCATCTCCTTCTGGTGAGTCCAGCACTAGCAGCCTGAGAGTTCCATGGGCCAACCTCACCCTCCATCCTTATTTCCCTGCCACTCCAAGGCTCCTCCTCAGCCAGAACTTGCCTGTGAATGCCCCTTGATGGCTGTATCTTGTTCTCATGCTGCTAATAAAGACATATCTGAGACCGGTAATTTATAAAGAAAGGAGGTTTAATGGACTCACAGTTCCACATGGCTGGGGAGGCCTCACAGTCATGTTGGAAGGCAAAAGGCATGTCTTACATGGTGGCAGGCAAAAAGCGAATCAGAGCCAAGTAAAAGGGGAAACCTCTTATAAAACCGTCAGATCTCATGAGACTTATTCACTATCTCCCACTACGTCCCTCCTACAATATGTGGGAATTATGGGAGCTACAATTCAAGGTGAGATTTGGGTGGGGATACAGTCAAACCATGTCAATGGTCCTGGCTTCTCTCCCATTAGCTCTCTTCTATCTCCCAGACTCTTTCCAGCTTTCCTCTTCTTCTTTTTAAGAGACTGGAGTCTCACTGTGTTGCCCAGGCTGGTCTTGAACTCCTGGGCTCAAGGGATCCTCCCAGCTCCACCTAACAAGTTGCTGCCAGTATAAGCACACACCCCTACACCCCCACAGTTTGCCCATCCTCCCCAGTCCAGTGAAATCCTCAGCTTCTTCACATCCCTGTTAGTTCCAGGCACCAGCGTCTTTGCCTTCTATAGAATGCACAAAATTATAGCCTCTTAGAGCAAAAAGGTCACTGGGATTAGGGAGGCTAAGAGTTCTTTCTTCATTCAGGGATTAAATCTTCCACCTGCAGGGTGACATGGCTTGCCTTAGTCACCAAGTAAGGTTGGGAAAGTATTTCTGGGATGGTCATTAGCACTTTCTTTCCGAAGGAAGGACACTACAAACTCACTTTCGTGATCACGGTATTCCCCACCTACAGGTTAAGCGTGCGAACTGGCTTTCATTCCCTCTTTTTTCCTTTGACGCAGCACTAAAAATTTTTTTGTTTTTTCTGTTGCCCAGGCTGGAGTGCAGGGGTACAATCTCGGCTCACTGCAACGTCCACCTCCCAGGTTCAAATGATTCATCTGACTCAGCCTCCCGAGTAGCTGGGATTACAGGTGCATGCCACCACGCTAATTAGTGACCTGGCTAATTTTTGTATTTTTGGTAGAGATGGGGTTTCGCCATGTTGGCTGGTCTTGAACTCCTGACCTCAAGTGATCTGCCCACCTCAGCCTCCCAAAGTGCTGGGATTACAGGAGTGAGCCACTATGCCTGGCCTGAAACATTTCAATTCTTAAAATTTACATGTTCATGATGACACAGAGACAGGTTTTCTGTTTAGGAGAGGGCTGAATTCTATTAAAGCTGACCTATCATATGTTGCACACTCTGGAATGAACATGAGAGATCAGAATTGAGCTTCCCAAAATGGTGGGTCACATTGACCCAGTGTTGTTCCAGGAAAACATTGCAATATCCAACATGAGAAAGTGCTGCACGTACCATGTATGTGTTGGGATGGTGGGCTGAAATGTATTATTAAGCAAATGTTATCGTATTTGTCTATTAAATTCTGAAACTGCCTTTGCAAAATTATGAGTGAGACAATGAAAGAGATCTAGGTTAACCGACTTCATCTTGCTTCTAACCTCCAAGCTGTCTTTGTTCATTCCCAGGCATAGGCTGAACTTACTTTGGGAGAAACTTCATCTATAGTTTATAGTTTAAACAAAGATGGTAACAGCCCTTTAACAAAGCAGACCTCCTTCTTGCCTGGGACTAGATTGCCTTTGTAGGACTAACATTAGCCACAAGATTAGAAATGATGGTTTAGGAGTCATGCAGCTGGAGGCTACAATATTCTGACCCTCTTTAAACTGCTCCTAAGATCCGTGCTTGGGATATTTTGCAGACCCTGCACTTGATGGATCAGCTGGCATCACCCAGATCAATAAACTGGCTCATCTGATCTTGTGGCCCCCACCCAGGAACTTAGCGCAAAAGACAGCTTCGACTCCCCGTGATTTCATCTCTGACCAATCAGCACTCCTGGCACACTGGCTTCTCCCAACCCACCAAGTTATCCCTAAAATCTCTGGTCCCTGAATGCTCAGGGAGACTGATTTGAGTAATAATAAAACTCTGGTCTCCCGCATAGCTGGCTCTGCATGAATTACTCTTTCTTTATTGCAATTCCCCTGTCTTGATGAATTGGCTCTGTCTAGGCAACGGGCAACGTAAACCCCTTGGGCGGTTACAATTCTGTTTAGTACTTCCGTCTCGGTCAGGCATGGTGGCTCACGTCTATAATCCCAGTACTTTGGGAGGCCAAGGTGGGTGGATCGCTTGAGGTCAGGATTTCAAGACCAACCTGCCCACCATGGTGAAACCCCATCTCTACTAAAAATACAAAGTTAGCTTGGTGTGGCAGCACGCGCCTGTAATCCCAGCTACTTGGGAGGCTGAGGTAGAATTGTTTGAACCCAGGAGGTGGAGGTTGCAGTGAACTGAGATAGCGCTACTGCACTCCGGCCTGGGCAGCAGAGGGAAACTCTATCTCAAAAAATAAATAAATAAATAAAGTCCATCTCATATGATGTGCTGATTAGGTTTCATATCTGGGTTTCTTATCCCAACCTCTTTCTTGACAATCTCAATCTTTCTTTTTAAATAAATGTTATAGAAATACTAAAATGTATTGTGAATAACACCCACATACCACCATCCAATTTAAGAAATAAAGCATCACTAATCCAGTTTTGCTTCCTGCAGACTCATCCTTCATCCCATTCTCTCTATAAACATCCTGCAGCTGGGCACAGTGGCTGCGCCTGCAGTTCCTTCAGGATGCTGAGCGTGGAGGATCGCTTGAGCCCAGGAGTTTGTGACTGCAGTGTGCTTGCACCTGTGACATAGCCACTGTGTTCCAGCCTTGGCAACATAGCAATTCTCCATCTCTAAACGAAATCCTGAATTCGACAGTTGTCATTCCGTTGTTCGTTTTTACATTTTTACCACACATATATGTCTACATATGTAAAAATATATAATTTTTATTTTTGTATTGGGGTGAAATTCATATAACATAAAATTAACCACAGTAAACATGAACAATGCAATGGCATTTAGGACAGTCACAATGTTGTGCAACCACCGCCTCTATCTAGTTCCAAATCATTTTCATCACCCTGAAAAAACACACCATGGCCATTAGTAGCCATTCCCCATTTCTCCCTCCATCTGTCCCCTGCAACCACCAATCTACTCTCTGTCTCTAAAGAGTTACCTATTCTGGGTATTTCATATAAATGAAGTGATACGATATGTGGAGACTTTTGCGACTAGCCTCTTTGACTTAGCAGACATAATGTTTTCAAGGTTCATCAATGTTATAGTATGTACAGGTATGAGTACTCTTCCTTTCTCTCTCTTTTTTTTTTTTTTTTTTGAGATGGAGTCTCGCTCTGTTGCCCAGGCTAGAGTGCCGTGGCATAATCTTGGCTCACTGTAACCTCCACCTCCGGGATCAAGTGATTCTCCTGCCTCAGCCTCCTGAGCACCTGGGACTACAGGTGACTACCACGCCCAGCTGATTTTTTTTTTCCCCAGACGGAGTTTTGCTCTTATTGCCCAGGCTGGAGTACAGTGGCACAATCTTGGCTCACTGCAATCTCTGCCTCCCGGGTTCAGGCGATTCTCCTGCCCCTGCCTCCCGAGTCGCTGAGATTAGAGGTGTGCACCACCACACCTGGCTTATTTTTGTATTATAGTAGAGACAGGGTTTTACCATGTTGGTCAGGCTGGTCTCAAACTCCTGACCTCAGGTGATCCACCCACCCCGGCCTCCCGAAGCACTGGAATTACAGGTGTGAGCCACCATGCCCAGCCACGCCCAGCTAATTTTTTTATTTTTAGTAGAGACAGGGTTTCACCACATTGGCCAGGCTGGTCTAGAACCCCTGACCTTGTAATCCAACGGCCTCTGCCTCCCAAAGTACTGGGATTAAGGTGTGAGCCACTGCACCCGGCCTCTGTTCCTTTTTTTATGGCTGAATAATATCTCATTGTATGGATAGAGCACATTTTGCCTATCCATTCATCCATAGATGAACATCTGGGTTATTTGAATAGTGCTGCTGTCCACATTCACGTATAGGTAATTGTGAGAACATGGCGTCACTTTGGATTTCTCTAAACTTTATATCACTCTGCAGCTTGCTTTGTTTGTTCAATGTTAAGTGATTTCCATGTTGATATGCACATCTCTAGTTGATTCATTTTCACTGCTGCAAAGCATCCTATTAAAAAAAATATTCTATTTTATTTTTGAGACAGGGTCTTGCTCTGTTGCCCTGGCTGGAGTGCAGGGGTATAATCACAGCTTACCATAGCCTTGAACTCCTGGGCCCAAGCAATGCTCCCACCTTGGCCTCCTGAGTAGCTGGGACTACAGCCATGTGCCATCACACCCAGCTAATTTCTGTATTTTTTTTTCTTTTTTGAGAAAGGGAAAAAAGAAAGTAAAAGAAAAGAGAAAGAAATGAGAGAAAGAAAGAAAAAAGAATGAAAGAGAAAAAGAAAGAGGAAGAGAAAAAGAAAAAAGAATGAAAGAGAGAAAGAAAGAGGAAGAGAAAGCGGGAGAGAGAACAGGAGTCTTGCTTTATGGCACAGGCTAGAATGCAGTCTAAAAATGGGTATTGAAAACCTCTTTTGTGCCAAGAACTGTGCTTAACAATGGAGACAGGAAGGAATAAGGGAGGAAAATAACAAACAAGCAGCCAAGAAATATTTCATTTAAACCTGTGAAATGCTATGTAATTACTGAGGAGTGATTTACTTCCAATTATGTAGTCACTGTCGTCTTTGTAATTGCTGACTTTCAGATTGGGTCTCTGAGTGGATGT